CTTACTTGAGGTCCTATCTGATCAGTTGTTGGTGTCCATGTAAGTGTGATATACCATTGATTAGTAGTACCACTAACAGCAGTTATAGTTGTTTTCTTCATATACAAAGGTGAAATAGTGATGAATTCAGTGATGTAATCACCAGTACAATAAACAGCAGCAACAATACGTTCAACATGTTGTACACCAGGTAAAACGCCTAGGAATCATATAGATCATATGGGAATAATTTGAATGTTGATGCCTTACCAATACAAGCTCGATTAGGACGATCACCAATGACTGCCGGTATGACACTACAAGCTCCCAATGCTGGTTGATAAGTATAAATGAGCCTAATAAAAGAAGAGTTCACTGAAAATAATGATGAAATTTGATAAATATGTTTACATTTGTAATGGAACCGAACTCATAGGAGTAGTACTTGCAGTATTCACAAAGTCTTCCACCATGATTGCTACTACATAAGTGCTTGTAGTCAAAGATGCATCGATTGATCGTCTAACAACATTCCATGTTATTGTGCATTCACTACAGAATGAAGAGAGCTAATTTTTTCATGTTACAAAATAGAAAAAGTTTGATAATATCTCTGAAAGAGACAAAACTGACCTTGACGATAGAACAGCACCTGGTAAATTATTACATATATCACCACATTCATTTCCAGCAGGACCTGAACTACTAGCCCAGCGACAACGAATATCATCAGTTCGATCCCAATCAGCTGCTGGAATCTGAATAATGGCTGTTTGTCCTTCGATGACACGAATAAGAGGCAGAGATCCAGTAACTGAAAAATATTGTAAAACATTGATAGTAGTTAAGCTTTTATCTTTAGAGATTGATACCTGGTGATGAGTTGATAGGATATTTTTGTGTGAGATCAATATGAGTAATCACACGCCAATAAATCGCGTTAGCGTTGGACGGCTGTTTGATTACGTCAGCCCAAGAATTTCCATTAAATCCAACTAGAATGTCCGTATTACGGTCCAAAGTCCTTCTTGAAATCAAAGCTCCACTACTAATCTGTACAGCGTCAGAAAAATCAGTACAATACGTGATGGAAGAAATACGGGTAAATCCTGTTCCTGAACAGCCTCCAGTTGATTGGCATGCAATAAATGGTTCATTGGTGAAAATAGATCCATCTGCATAGAAACCTAAATTATCGATCAGTGCTTGATCGCAATTGAGACGACTCAATGTCCATGAATGTGATTGATAAAAGATAACTTCAACACTACTGGAATTGGTATATGGATCAACGGGTTTCCAATTAATTAAGCCACCCTGCAAGAAATATTGTAGAGATATTCATTAGTTTTACTGTCTTTTGGGTTTACTTTGTAATGACTAGCATGAACAGCTGTTGCTAGTATCCATAGTCGTACAAGAATATGGATCATTTTCTATCAAAATTCAATTGAAAGTTAGTAAAATGATGTCGACTTGATGGATGTGTGCTTTTGAAAAGGAACTAAATTTGACGTGCTGGTGATGAGAAGAATTTTTTTGAATCAATAAGTGTTAAAGAAGTATGGAGGCGACAGGTAAGTGATTTGGTGTTGAAGTGGAAGAAAACTGTAATGCGCAAATAATAATGTTTCTTCAATTTATAAAAGTATTAATAGATTCATGCAAAGCAGCCATCATTTCAGTGAAGAAGGTTGTGAGTGGAGTTGATATTTTTTTGAATTTCCGACTAAAGTTGAAAACTGACGCATTCTTGTTTTAAAAAAAAAGGAAGGTAATGTATCCATGAAGTGCGACCTGTTTATCGATACGTGACCGGAGAAAGAAAACTTGACAAGAGCATTATGCTATGTATTAAAAGAACTATCTTCAGTGAAACAGATCCATAACATCAGGACCTCCTCATTTTATTAGTAGAAAGTGTTACAACGTCTTTCAATTATTTGATTGTGACATAGACTGCAGACTCTTTTTTATATTGATGGACTGGTGTCTAGGTCATGTCAGACAGTATATAGAATGACTCATGTCTATATAACATTTAGGCTGCCTATGTGTTTAGTAATAATGAAAATAGATTTGTCAGACTCCTTTTTCTTTTATTTCAAAACATAAATAAGAATCTATACTTTTGCACAAAAGAAAAAACAAATAATAAAGAATTTAATACAAGACCAGAAAAATCGCAATATAATAATAATAATAATCACCTTATAGTGGAACAAAAACAATAACAATGATTTTCATCGAGCGAAAGAAAAACAACTTTCTATACATGATTAGAGAAAAGAAAGACCATATAAAGAAGGAGTACCCATCTATGCAACATATATTGATGACTATCTTAACAGGGTTAAGAAAGAGAGTATGCCGAAAAAACGAATGCAACCATAATGTCATACACTCATCAGTCACACATATACCTACACCAAAAACGAAATGATCAGTCAATAGATTGCATAGTAATGAATAATTCAAAACACTGCAAGATCGCAAGTGATTTTCAGATCCAATTTACTTTTGAAATTTCAGATTGAATTTCAAGAAAACAAACGTGCACCCGCAAGCCATACATGTTTTGAATACATTTTCTTTAATAAAATATGGTACAAGCAGCAAAAAACTGAATTAATTTTATTGTAAACATGTGAAATGTATTTCAACCATTACCGATTGGTACGTTGACAAAAAGAATTCTAATACACGAGACAAAAATTGCAGCTAATAAATCTCAAAATGTTTACTTAAGCTACTTAAAAAGATTACTTTTTTGTAAGTTTATTTTGAGGCAGCTTGCCGGCTACGTGGAGACACCTGCGCCCTGCCCCCCCCCCCCCCCCGCCCCCCCCACCGTCCCTCGTCACCCTCGGGAGCCGCCCCGGACGGACGA